GTGTCGCCTCCAGTGGGGTGGGGTGGAGGAGGAGTCAGCTCAACCAGGCTGCTTTTCCCTTCCCTAGCGACGCAGTTAACGCACTCTGCCAGTGTGTGAGTCCGGCCTCAGGAAGACGCTTGCTTCATCCTGCTGGAGAGCCAGGAGGAGCCACATCATGTCTGAGGCTGCCAGCTGCCTCGCCCAGGTCACCTGCAGGGAGGCCACCGGACACGGAGTTTCCAGGGGAAGGGCGGGGACGGACCTGGGAGTTCCCGGGCCAGGACACAGCCGTGCATGTGAGGCCTGCACCCTGCCTACCTCTGACGACAGCCTGCTGCAGAGACGCCAGCCAACAGGTCCAGGCCCCGGCCTTGTCTCCTCAATTCCGCTGTCTCAGTCCCATGGGCCGTGGCAGCGTTCCACTCCTTCCTACAGCCTGCCGCTGAGCACTGATTTGCCCACTGTCTCCCACCCTGGTCCCCCTTTACCCGCCTCGCTAGATCCTGGGGTCAGCGTGGCACCAGCTGGGCTGTGCACTGATTCCACTTGGATTTTATCAATTTGAGTAAATCCTAGGGTTCAGGTCGGGTTCCGTGGCCTCACTTCCGGCTCCTGGACGCCTCCCTGCGCACAGTGTCGGAAACGACTGGAGAGGGGGTGCAATGCTGAGCTATGGGGAGGACAGCTGTCCTGGCGCTTCTGGGCTCTTGGTGCCCGGCCAATGTGCAATAAATAATGGTTAAAAATCAGCGGCACCACAGCTACACCTCACGGCTTCCCTACAGCGGGGGACACGTCCCAGGCTCGGGTAGCACCTTCTTTCACGCGAACTCCGAAGCCTCCCCACTTCCCCCAGAGGGCCCTGGGACTGGGCAGCCAGGCACAGCGCCCTCCTGTGGGGTCCCCCGCCTCGCCCAGTCTTCTCCTCCTCCTCCCAGCTCTTCTGTGGTTACTCTGGTTCTGTCACAGTCACGAGGAGCACACACGGAAAACACGCTGCTGGTGGGACTCCCTTCCCCTCACACTGCTTCGGCCCCTTCTCCGGGCTGGGTCCTTGCCTGCAGCAGTGGATGTGGGAGCTGCACAGGGCGCAGGACAGGGGTGCCAACTGCCACGAGCTGCAGTGGCAGGTGTGGACCAGCGGCCACTGCAGGAGGCGAACAGGGAGGTGGTCTGGCCCAGACCCGCCTTCCCCTCAGAAAACCACCCAGCACCCCTGCCGCTGCTGCCTCGATGCCAGGCGCTAGCATAACCCCAAGGCGTTAGAAGACAGTGCCCTCTGCTACTCCCAGCTGGCTGCCCTTCCTGCGGGCGGAGGTGCTCACAGAGGCACAGACTGGAACCCTCATCCCGGACCCCACAGGTAGGTGCAGGGCTGTGCTGGGCAGACACCTGCAGGACCCTGTTCCTGCAGTGCGGTCAGATTCACGCTGCATCAGTGGGGAAAGTACAGGTTTGCTCTGAACTCCTGGGCGCACGGCGGTGGGGTGAGGGCAATCGCTAGACAGGTGCTGCTCCGCGGAGACCTGGCCCACCGTCCTGGGGCACCTCGCTGCTCTTGACCCCCCTCCTTCCACCAGAGGCCAGCAGGCTCCTCTCTTCTCAGGGTGCCCCCGCTCCTAGCCAGGGAAGAGCCAAAGAGCCCCAGTCCTGGAGCCTCCCCTGCGGGCAGCACTCAGGGCTCAGGTCAGAGCCCCACGTGGTGGTGTCCCGAGGTGGACCTGGGGGCCGCGGGGTCACACAGCCTTCAGCGACCCCGAGCACGGGGCGTGGGCAGGTCCATCCCCTCCTTGTCCCGCCACCCCGCTGTGCAGCTCACTCCCCATGGGGTGCAGAGCCCGCAGGATGGGGTCCATGTCACACAGGCAGCTGTTTGCTTGGCAGCTGCAGACTCCGCTTGGACCCGGAGAACTGTGCGCCTGCTTCTGCTCAGCAGCCAGGGATTATCCACGCAGCCTCTGCTGTGGCCGTTGCCATGGTGAGAACACACGCACTGGCACCGTGTCCATATAAGGCTGGGTTAGCCAGGCCGGGCCAGGCCCGTGTGCAGGAAGGCGTTTGGGTGGCAGCTCCAGCAGCACTGCGGGGAAAATATACGGCCAGTGGCCCCGGGGAAGCTGTGGGAAAGAACAGGCTATGCACGCAGACCTTGCACACAGACTCTGTCCAGCTGTGATTTTTATGGAGCGCGTTATTTTAAAAAATACCATTAAACCGGAAGTAGGGCAGAAACGGCTTTTCTACAGAAACACGTTTGGTAGAGCTGTTAATTAGTTGATGTTTCATGCACGCAAACGCTCGGTCTGAGTGGAATAGAATCTCTATCTTAGTAACTGTTTTGATAAAGCATATGACTGTCCTAACAAATTTCCACAAGTTCCTGTCACTTTTTACTGTTAGCTCTTTTTGTCTTCTTACTAACCAATGTGCAAGGACACACTTGAGTTACCTGGAGTTAGCTGGCTGCTCTAATACCTCAGGGCCCAGTGAGCCAACATCGCTGTGCTAACTAACTGAGCCAACATCCTCACGCTGTCTGACAGCCCATGACAGGTGGCCTTGGGGACAGTATCAGGGATTATGCAGCACACAGCAGTATTGCCCTGGTTATGTGTCAGGCCACCTGAGCCTGAGAGGATGGCCCCATAGCCAAGGCTCACATGCACATCATTTCCTGTCTCTTGTACAAACTCCTGAGACAACTGCCGAGTCTGCCTTGTGTGATCAGTGTCAGTAACCTGCCTGGAAACTGCAGCGAGTCCAGCCCATGCTAGTTCTGGATTCCTAGCGTTAATCGAATCAGCCAGAGGTGGACAGTCTGCACTTTATGTGGCAATGTTCCAAAACAGGCTTGGGTACTTCTGTAATCGGGGAAGCTGGGGGACACGGGGCCTCGCGATCTGAGTGAGTTTACTGAATCACAGAGGCCCAGGAGTCCTAGAACCTTCCCCTAGTGCCCTCCTTGAGAAGACACGGCAGCATGTGGGCACACACTGCCGTGCCCGTGGCAGAGTCTGCTGAACAGCCAGGACAAGCTGCCCGCTGAAGAGCCAGGCTGTGGGGACGGCAGTGTGGGCAGGCTTACTTGGTTCTTCATCGGACTGTCACAGGAGAGGAAGGACTCGGGCTCTGCCTGGCTCACAGTGTTCAGAGAATGCAGAGCACCCCAGACTCCGACTCCGCCCCACGGCTGCTCACAGACACCGCACTGCTGATTTATCCACTTCCTGTCCATATAAGGTTGAGCTGGCCAAGAGCTCAGGGAGCGAGCTTTCGTCACCACCCATCATGTCATCGCTGGGAAAATCTATAGCGAGGGACCCAGGGGAATTTTAAATCTCAGGAAATGGCTTCCTATAGTTAAAAAATATTTATCTTTGTGAAATGCTGAGGAATGATCTCCAAGTAGCAATTCCCAGAGCATAGCATCGCCAGGCCAAGCAGGGAAGCCTTGTGCTAAACCTGAAGGTCCCTGGAGAGTCGCAGTGCCTCATCACAATGGCACCAAACTTTTGTGGGACAATCCACACTTTTCAAGAAAACTATGTGACTCAAGGTCCAAGAGAGTATTTGTTTTTGGTTCCCAAATGAAGTCTTCAGCTTAACCAAGAATCTCTTATTTTTCACTTAATCATCCCAACTCCTGGGCTGGCTTGGCTGCTCACTCACCCACATACACCTGGAGGCAGGCATCGTACCTGCCACCTCAGATAATGTCCACATGACCGCCCACAGTGGCCAGTGGGCCGTCAGGAGGCACTGTGTGTGGCTTCCTAGGAGCCTGATTCCGGGACCAGCGTGCTTGGGGTTATGATTTAGAGGAGGGGACTCAGGGTCAAGCCTGGCCTTGGGGGCCACACTCCGAAAGGTGACATGGAAGTAGGAAAGGAACAGCTGCTCTGAAATGGACTCGGGGTCTGATGGGGTGAAGCCCACTGGACACCAGGACCGTCCTGCTTTCTGTCCACAACAGAGCAGCACAGACAACACTTCTGTGCACCTCCCACAGCCGGGCCCTTTCCAGACCAAGGTGCAGACAAGCCTGGGTCCTGGAGGGACCATACGGCCCTAGACAGCCAGACGCAGGGCTGTGGGCGGGATGAAACCCCACTCCCTGCCGTGGGCCTGGGCATGCACACAGAACACCACCTTTTAGAAAGAAGAAATGTCAGTACGCAAGCACCGGTTGTTGTATTTGCTTTGTTTTGTTTCGTGGTGCCAGGGACCAAGCCTGGGCCATAGGCTGAACTCCACGCCCAGTCCCCACCAGGTAGCTGAATGAGGTGGATCGCTGCCCTGTGCACATTCAGCCTGGCATCGGCTCAATATTCCAAATGGCGATACTTTCTCTGCATGCTCACGAGGAAATGAGCTCCCCGAAGGGCATTCAGGAAGTATTTCACACTTAGAATCAACATCAATGTACACCTGTCATTGCTGGCCACTTTTTTATACCTTTGCGGTGATACAACTTTAACTATGCTTGCCTTTATAGGTTTTCATAAAATACATGTTTATGTAAAATGTAAGTATAAAACATCATTGCACTTTACACATAGCTGTGTGCAGTACACATGGACACACACACACACACACAGCTAGCCCCTGGATCTGTGGGTTTTGTGTTTGCAGATTCAATCATGCACAGACTGGAAATATTAAAAAAATCTGGACTCCTGAGCACGAGATGCCCCTGTCGTTATCCCGAATGAAGGCACGCAGCGGCTGTCTGCGGAGGCCTCATGAGTAACCTGGGGACACCTGACGAGGCCACAAGGCTGCACGCCACGTGACCAAAGGACGGGCACCCTCAGACCTCCTCCCACAGGGTCCTGGCCAGCCCTTGGCAGGACCTGGGGACTGCTGTGCACGCAGATTCAGAACAGCGCGAGGCAGGAGAGAGGGACAAGCCCGCCCACCTCGCGTCCTATCACTGCTTGTGTGGTGACAGAGGACACTTGGTGTCACACTCCTCAGGAGAATGGGGGACAGGGCGCGAGAGTGACGCTCTGACTTACGCGGCCTCCTTTTTCGGGGTAGCACCGGCAGCCACCGCTGCAGTCTCTCCCTCCGCAGGGCACGTCGAGCTTCTTCACACCCTGTGAAAATCAAGCACACACTGTCACCTCCAGGGTCAACACCCCGAGTCCCAGTGCACCGCGCATCCCACGGGCAGGGCCTTCGGAGGCGCCCACAGGACGCAGAGCCTACGCGGGGTCCCCAGCAGGGAGTGACACCTCTGCTGCCTGGAGATGGTATCCTGGAGAGGACGGGATGGGTCCCTCTCAAGGCTGAGGCAGGACAGATCGATCCGTGGGGACAAGGCGCACCTCATGCCAGGCCCCAGTATCTCAGAATAAAGAGGTGCTCAGGGTGGGAGGCCCAGTGGTGCAGTGCTCGGCATGACCCCAGCACGTCCACAGGGCAGCCACACTGACCTCTTCCCCTCAGTAATTCTGTGGTGCCCCCAACAGGTGGGGTGGTGCATGCTGTCAGTTATAGGAGGCTCAGGCCTTCCTTCTTGGCGCCTGTGCTGTCAGCCAGTGTCTGAGAGGCCCACAGAGGTCATCCAGCTGGCGGTCACCCTCGGGGAACCGCATATTCGGTTAGGTCACGGCATTTACTGGGCCAAACCCCACCTGAGGGCAGAGCCTTCCAATGTGTCCAAGCAGAGCACCACTGTCCTGGAACCCGCCATGCCCCTTCCCACACTGCACATGTGCCTGGGGCCCCAAACCTGCCGCGCCGAGCAAGGTGTGTCCCATCCGTGGGGACGGGAGGGCCACCTCGGAGCCATCTGGCCGGGTCACCCTCAATGTTCCCTCTGAAAGATGATTGGACTCTCTCCTCACCATGATTCTCTACTGGAAAGGGCCCCGCTCCTGCATGCCCGTCACCACCTTCACCTGACCACCAGCCCAGGCACCCGGCATAGCTCGAGGTACTCCAGAAAGTTTGCAAGTCTCAAATCCTCTAAAGACACCAAGACACGGAGAACATTTTCAATCTATTTTTAGTGATCTTTTTGTTCTGAGTGAGGTAATGAGGTAGCCGAGTTCCACAGTGTAAAAGTAAACAGACATAAAATCCCTTAATGCCCTCAAAATATGATTCCAAGTATTGGCCAGTTTTATGGCTTCAAGGTTTATCTACAACAGGGCCCATAAATTCCATGATTTTGATTACGTGTTTTTAAGAGCACAGCTCCACGCGTTACCTGCAGTACCAGGCCTACGTGGGACACACAAAGACTTGCAGGGCAGGGGACCACAGTGACAGCAACAGGGGGACCCCACTTCACCAAGAACTCACTGGGGAAGGTGAGGGGTTCTGGGAATGGAAGGGGGCGTGCGCACTCACAGCCCTCCTCTGGTGTGACACAGGCCATTTCTAGGTTTGACTATAGAACTACTTGCCAAATCCCTGGGCATAAATCAGTGGTTCAAACAATTTTAAGGGGGTTTCAAGTGGGTCTAACAGACTCCCTGTCCTAAGTGTAGGAGACTCCGGATTTGGTTGGGGAAGTGTCCTTGCTCCTTATTGCCTGCCGGAAGCTTTGTGGTGCTTTCTTCCTGCAAGGGCCGGGACAGGAGGCAGCCGGGGATACCTCTGGGCTCCACCTCTCCCGCCAGGTGCCTGTGGAGGGTGGATCCGTCCCAGACCAAGCCAGCTCCCCCTGCGGACACCCCAGACTCTGGCCTTGTGCTTGTGCAAGAGTGTCCAACCTCTCCCCGTCCTGTGGGGGAGGTGCTTATGAATTCCGGCACCTACAAGAGCCCTCAGTGCCATACTCAGGAACGCCAGTCTCCAGGGCGAGAGGAAATATTTGTGCCCTGGGGTAGGGTGTGGGCTCCGGACAGCCACCCGACCAGCTCAGGTCCCGGGACCAGGCCCCTGGGCAGACGTGGGGCTCTGCAACCTTCTCCACATGGCCCCCCTGAGGATGCAGTGGGGGCGGTGCTGCGTCCCTGCTCACTGGCTCGACTCTGTACCTTGATTTTACTGCTCTGTGCAACCCAAGGACAAAAACCGCGACTGCTTCCGGTCAGGTCCTCTGTAAAAACGCCTCGTTTCTCCCACCCTGCCTGCATCTGTGAAGCTGCCGCCACCTGCAGAATGGAACCTGCCCCTGATTCCAAACCCTACTGGGTCAGGATCTGCTTTCTGCAGTGGTTTCCAGTTACCGTGGTGGGGTCTGCAAAACGCTGTGCTGCGTGGTGGCTGGGCCCAGCAGAGGCGCCCCCAGCCAGCCAGCTTGTCTCAGCGCTGCACGAAGTGGTGCAGGCTCAGGGGGTCTCCTGGCTGAGAGGGACCCTGGTGTGTCCGTCCCAGCAGAGGGCCACCCTTGGCCTCCCTTCAATCCCACTTCCTGTGGGGCCTCAGGGACACTGAGCACTGGACTCAGAACGGGCCTCCAGTCAGAGCCAACATCTAGTTCTCTTTTCCTCGAAAATAAGTGCTTCCAGCGTTCTGCTCTTCTGCTGGGTTTTATCCTGCCCTGCACAGGTGGCCAGCACTCCTGTGCTGATCAGAAATTGGGGCCTCAGAAGTGACCCGGATGGCTTGGGGACTCCCTGGCGAGATAGAGGCCCCAGAGGTGTTTTCTGGGGACCCAGGTCACGTTCTGCTAGGCGGGGATGCAGCTGACGCTGTCCCCAGGGGTGCAGTGGGGAAGCCGTGGGAGCAGGACTCTCAGTTGATGTTTTACAGGGAACTCTTTGCTCCAGAGTCTTCCTGAATCGTTACATTAGAAAGCTTTGAAAACCCATCTGTCTTTGTGGGCATCCTCCTAGACACAACCTGACCAAGCCGCAGCGTCCAGGACCTTGGGAGAACAGAAGCCCTGAACCCTGGAGAGACAAGGGCTCCCGCCTCTGCACCTAGCTTCCTCTCGGGCTCAGCGTGAGGGTTCTGTGCCTGGATCCTGGTTCTGCGGCTGCCACAGTGCCCGCCCTGCCATTGATAAATGGATTACAGAGTCAGCGCAGACATCAACAGAAGCAGCTGCAAGATTAAGAGGACATCCGGTCCCACGGGGGCTGGCGTTGGCTCTGCGCGAGCAGCCCGTGGCAGGGTGTCCGGGTGTCACATTGCTTCCGGGACCCGGGCAGCCAGCATCCAGGAAGAACCCCACCCTGCCCTGCATACGCAATGCTGCCCAGGGCTGCTCTTTCCAGACTTGCACTTGCATCTAGGACATTTAAGAACATTTAAAAATATGCAATAACTTGACTGCCAGAAAATAAAACACATGAAGATTTAGACTGTCAGTCTAGTTGACTTCCTGTGTGAGTTGTCCGTGCATATTAAAGGCAAAATCCCGTGGAAATGTACCCAGCTTTTTTAGCTCTATCATCTAAAGCTGATACACTATAGGGAATGAAAGACAAAAACGATGGCCACTGGTTCCAACTTGCATTTAAAAATGAGTATTAATCACATTTATATGAAGATCCAAGAACAAAATGCATCTGTCCTAAAACAAAGAATATTTTGTCCTCTACATGTTCCAGAAATGCCTTGTCCAAGGAAGTCTTTTTTAGCCAATGTACCTCCAGCCAAAAAGAGCAATTCTCTGAAGGGAATTCATAGATATTTCCCATCAAATCGCCCCTGGCGTCCAACCCAAACTTCCTCTGCGGAGCAAGCCTCAACTACCCAGCCTAAGCGACATGAAAGGTAAATATTTCTCACTGTTTAAAGTAATTATCTTTCTTATTTTTAGGCAAAATAATCTCTACAAGTCTTTGTCTTTGCTGCAAGTCTGGTCAAGCAGGGGTTTTTAGAAATATCCTTCTAGTCCAAAAATAGAGGCCAACCAAGAAGAGAGCCAACTTGGGAACGAGCTCCCAGCAAGTTCCATTCGTTTATCAAAACAGGAAATATAAGCCATTTCCGCACATGCTGCTTTAGAAATTAAGGAAATCATTCCAACATGGTATTAGCAGGACAAGGTATATGGAAAGGAAGCTCGAGTCACAGGGCCACTCACAGAACAAATCCTGTCCCCAAAGAGGCAGGAGGGAGTTGGCAGCTCTGCCAACTCAGTGTGTTTTGTGAAACAGCATTTCAAGGGCCCCCAAACAACCGCGGTCACTCAAGAAAGCAGAGGGGGCATGGGGATGGACCACCCCACGGTCACCAACAGCTAGTTCCCCGTCCTCAGGGAGCTGGACTGAGAAGATTTAGGAGGTCAGACTGTGCTGGAGCAGAAGAGCAGGGGCGGCCGTGGGAAGGCTGGAGTCTAGGCCCTGGGCGGACTCCCTTAGTGTGGGCCGTGAGTACCTGGGGAGTGGCTATGCTGCCCTCCAGTCACCATGGCAGCAGACGCTACCATGGCAGCAGACGCAGGCAGCCAGGAAGCTTGTCCTTAGGCGCTGTGCCTGAGTCATCGGGAGCACACTTCTACATCTTGATGAGCATCTCGGCTAGCATGGCCACTTTCTAGTGCTGGGGCAGCTCCAAGTGCGGGGCAGGGGGTTCCCACATTGGTTTGGAACCTGTGCAACCTGGGACAGTCACAGGGCGGTGCAGGAATGTGACAGGTGGGGGTGGACGGGCCCGGAGAACAAGGGCAGAGTGCTTCCCGAGTAACACCCTTCCTCCTCCTAATGTCTGGAGCCGACTACACAGTAAGGACTCACGGTGGGGGGGGGCTTCTGGGGACCCCAAAGCCCTGGCCAGGG